TTTAAATGTATAAATAGTACATCCGGCAATTTTTTTTTAACGAGTTTCTTCGTTAATTCTCGAACTGTTTACGCTCATCCGCGTCGCGACCTCGTAGCGACACGTCACACCTCACATAAACAAAGCTTCCTATTTCTAGATTGTCAATATTGCATTAATCATGACGCACGTTTAAATCTTCCAGTTGATTCGAGTGTTGTTGCGGATCGCCTGATTACCGGACGAGGCCGGAAGGCGTGCGGTGCGGGTGACGCATCTAGAAAGTTCCGAGAAGTTCTGAGAATCGCGCCGGCCGGCGTGTTTACTGGCCGCGCTTAACATCGCCATTGTCATTACAATACGACGCCACAATGCTCCATCGACACCTCGTTACCCTTCCTGCACAACAACAATCTACAACTTAACGCTTCTAGGGCGCTCCTCTAGACACAACAAATTAAATCTTCATCTTATCCATACAAATAACTCACTGACATATCATTTTAAATTAATTATAACCTTATTGCCAAACGATACACAATAACACACTCGAAACCTGAACAAAATACATTATATTTATACCTGTTTCATGCAACTTTGACGATTTTCATAATGTCGTTAGTATGAGTGACGCATATGAATACCGTAATGTAATGGAACATTTTCCCAAATGCAGGAAAATGCAATGCGTAAAAGTTTAAAGTATTGTGTATTTGTTAAACTGTTAATAATTTTATTTTTTACTAGGGAGAAACGACAACAATTTTACGAAATTTCAGGAAACAGATTAAAATAACAATATCGCTTGTTACTTACGCCTTTTTATTTGCAACGGATGGCTCGATGATTAGCGGGAGTCCACAGTACGAGTAACCTTAAACAACATACAGACAGATCATCAGATTCATTAATCAGTATGGTTGCTGGGCAACCGCCCTCACCAAACAACCTCAACAACACAACATTTTGTTGTACGGAATGCGGTATTACAATAAAAAAGCCATGTCTTTTAGTTCAACTTGTTTAAATGCTATGCTTTGTCATAAAATAAATAACATAATAGGGCAACTGCGTGACATTTGTCACAATAACATCGGCATATTTCAATTATATATTTACGTTGTGTGCGAGGAATTATTTCACTGTTTGAATATGTATTATGTTCAACAATCTTCCAATGTTTGTAATTATGTGAATGAGGACCATACTCTACTAAAAATCTAAAATTTTGTTGCTTCCACGTTCATACATCTATTACACGCCAATATGTTACAATATTATGAAGGTTGCTTTGACAAAGTATACAGTTAGATAAGTATTGAGGTAAATAGTTACCGTGCAGCTTGTCGATGGCTCTATCTGCGGCGGACTGGTCGGGGAAGTCGACGAAGGCGTAGCCGCCGCGCTTCACCGAAATGTCTGCCACCGTCAGATTGTGTTCTGCAAACAGCTGGCGCACGGCCGCCTCGTCAGCCTCGATGGGCAGGTTACCGATGTATAGCTTGTTCATCTTGGTATCCGGTGATTGGGATTATTGGGTGAACAGTTTTTGTAGTTCGGAAGACGGTGTCGGAGACTTGATCGTGCTCGGCTGTCTTTTGTCTGCAGATGCGGTTTGACGGTGACTCGAATTTAGAAGAAAAATATGGCTCGCTGTCTCAGCGGCCATGACGTAAAAAGCGGTTCCAAGGAGGTCGCACAACTCATGTAACACATATAGTATTTCACTGTTTGAATGCAGAAAACATTTCTTTATTATTATGTGTGTATTTAAGATATAGATTAGTTTGACAACTGTCGCGTATAAAGTATCGAATTAATTTGATATGATGATTAATTAATGTTTTACCTACTGGACGGTTGTCATAGTGTCGGAGTGTATGCGCAGCGCATTACGAGCAACTATGAACTAACTAGAATCGGTCTTGTAATAATAATGTGTTATATTAATCAAACAAATAATTAGTGTAACTCAGTTTTAATATTACTTTTTGACATTATAACAGTTATTATTTAGCCATGTGTCGCACAATTATCATTAAAATATTTCTTTTTGCTTGTAAACATCTCAATTTTTGGTTCAATGATTTATTTCTTTATGTTATTTTAAAAAATAAAGTAGGAATAAAAAGAACATTTCCGTTTATATTGTAATTCAAATTCAAAACAATAATCACGAAATTTTCCATTGCAAGTTCTATAAGAGAGACAATCGATAATCGACGATTATTATAATCGATTTTACTCATTAGATCTCTAGTGAATTGTCAAACTAATCTACTCAAATAGATACACTATAAACGAGTTATCGAATGATTTCCACTTGCAGATATCTTCTTCTATTTATATATAAAAGAAAGTCGCCTTAGTTACACTATTTATTATATTAACTATTAACCCTTAAATGGACGATTTTTTTTTTACGTTTTAAAAAAAAATATTTGTGTAATAGACATGTATTACTGTCTAGGAAAAATGAGTAAAAAAATCTAGACATGAATTTACTATTTTTTTTAGAAATAAGAACTAGTTGTCAAAATTAACAAAAAAATAAAATAAAGATAATTTTATCTGTGATGTTTAGTATGTTGTTTAAAAACAACATTGTCCATTTAAGGGTTAATTAATATATATTAATATTAACTCAAGAACGGCTTTACCGATATGCCTGAAAATTGGGAGGAGACGGACATAAGATACTATTTATTCATTTTTTTTTCGAATTTATGCCTTGAAGAGCTGCTTTTTATTTAACTTACTAATATTATAAATGTGAATGTTTAGATGGATGGGATGTGAATTGATTGATGGGTGTTTGAAGTTATCTCTAAAACGGCTGAACGTATCTCGATTAAATTTGGTATAGAGCATAGTCTGAAAGAACACATAGGCTACACTCACTAATTAAGTTTTTTTTTATATATCCATGGAGTGGGAGGGAGTTGCGGGCGACAGCTAGTATACGGCTGGCAATGGTGATCAATTAGTTGAATACAATTATATGATCCCAATATAAAAATTGGTTCCATTTGTTTTGGCCGCCATTAGCTATAGTCCTGAAAGCGAGCTGCTGTAAGCTACACGGTCCGAGAAATGGCAATTCTAAATGAATATTTGCTTATATAAATCTAAATGTTTGTTCAAGGGTAACGGTAACTGTTTTCATTGTTGCGAATCCTCTTTTAGAAAACGACCTTCTTCATCTATTGTATATTCCCATACATGAAAATGTGTTAGCTAGGGGTAGGTACTTATTTGAAATTCATTTTTTTTTATTGTAATGTAAACGTCCAGACAAGGTGTGCGGTGCGACATGTTTATCGAGCGGCGATGTTGCTGTAGAACGATTTGAAAAGTGAGACAACATGTTGATGTATCGAGAACGAGGCCGATGAGTCCTTGGACCTGGCCTCGTCGCCTCGTGTCGCCTCGTCGCCTCGTCGCCTCTTTCTTTTGTTGACGTCGATTGAATACGAGGGGCTCCAGATCACTCATTCGGGAACAAGCCATTACATTCATACATATTTTATACTATTCCTTCCTACCGGTTGATATGCCACAACATTTGCTGTTGCTTGCTCGTTTGCTGCCTCGGCATTTATATGCTAAGGCAGCGTGTCGACGCATATTGTACCTACGTAACAGGAACGTTAGAAGGTAAAACGCTTGGAGGAATTTGACGCCAGCTTGAGAGTTGGCGGGATTTGGTATAAGACGATCCGACCAGACAATATATTTACGCCGCTAATCCTGAGTTACTCGGGAGGATACTCCCGGGGAAAGTTCCGATGTACTTGATCCTCATTCTTCAAATTCCAACATAAATCTGTAGCCAGAGTCTGAATTTCTTGTCGATCTAAGTCCCTCACTGGGAATATATTAATTAAGAATATAACGATCATAAAAACAAAAAGATCCCTTCTTTGTAAATTGCCACTTCGAGAACATTCTCCTGGTTGCCTCTGACAGTATTGGTATTTTTAGCGTTGCCATATCGAGTGACGTTTAGTTGGAAAACAAGGCCAAGCTGGTCTCCAATAAGATCGGTATACTTTAGTAGAGCGAATCGATATTTTCAACCTGGTCAACGTCTACATCTTTCTAATGTAAGACACGGAATGTTGCTCGCACTTCTTGGCGCACGTTTGCCTCTTTCTTATGTTTTTGTGTTTATGTTTATTTTGTGTTTACGTTAAGTGATCGTAAAAAAAACTTATAAAAAAAGTTAAATCCAGATTTTTTTTGAATATAGTGACATTTTAAAAGACTGCTGCCATCTGTTAGATGTAAAAAATAACAGTTAAAATTTGTGTGATATTATATGTTTGGATTCCTAGATGGCAGCATATTTGCAGAACAGATTTTATTTAAGTATTCATTATATTAATAAATTATTTTTGCAGATGAATTTATCGGTAGAAAATTAAAAAGTGCTAAATATTTAATGCAACATTTCCGTCATACATCGTTCAATTTTATTTTTTTTGGATTACAATCATAGTTACAATGTAACATGCAAGATGGCGCTGGCGACAAAAATTCCGAGTGCGAATCATGAAATTGCGTAGATTTTCACGTGAGCACCGTGGGTGTGTGTGTGTGTTCGAATTTTTGGTTTCCTATTTCACATATTTCTATTGAAGAATTTATTGTGGTGACCGGATCTATCGTTTACTATTTGATTGATTAATTGGTTTAACCAAAGGAGAGTTTTGTAATGAGCGTCTCACAGTGTAGCGGCGTGTAATAATATAAATATTGAATAAAAAACAATTAACATATTGTGCAGTTGTTTTCTTTTTCTAAAGCCTAAATACAACAATGAGACTTGAAATAATAGACGATATTTTGATTAACATTGGGGTTCAATATAGCAGCATGTGAGTGATAATGATAACCTCGGTCACATGCCGTCTTCATGTTGCCTGCTGGTTGCTCGTTTGTCTCCGTGTCCGTAGAAAGGGTAATTTAGTGAGTTGATAACTATTACGTTGCTCTGTTTGTCAAATAACACAACAATATCATCGATGAACATTTATTTGCCACATAATGGATACATAGACATATAATGAATACACAGAAGAGCGCCTGCAATAGTTGCGCATAGAGATAGATTTCCGAGGCCATGGAAATGTAAAATCCTCATTATATCTATTAGACACGATAATTGTTTCTTAGTATAATTAAACATCGATTAAAACATTCAAACAATCTCTAAAATACGCAAATGGCGTACATGTTGCTTTACTTAATTAAGTACTAATCATTATAATAGTACAAGATTAAACAGTTATTAAAATTGTAATATAATAAGACGTATGCTACCGGTGCGGCGTTGCGGCGGTGCGACGGCACGGCGGCTGCTGTCACACTCTGCTCGACCTTCTGCTCAACATAAACATCCCAATACGTAGCTTTCCATTACATCATTCCATCATTAAACAGTTCTCTTGCACAAAATTGAGTTTCATTGTCTGGGAATTTCCAATGAAGTAATAATGAATAATATCGAGTAAATGTATTTATGTAAATCCATGAATGTACGTATGTATTTACTCATTTAGTTAATAATTACTTGCTTATAATATATGTATTATATCATCTTACCACCTAAACTATTCATAGAAGAGTAAATTAACCGTAAACATCTATATAAGAATATTAGGAATCAACAACAATAACATAAATGTACATATTTCTAAATATAGATGACCTCTACGTAGAAGGGGGGGGGGGGGGGGGGAGGGGAACTGAAGTATAAATCAAAATGTCGAGTGATGTCGATGACGAGTGTCAGCGTCTCGGGCGGGCCAGGGCTGGAGGTCCCACTTCGGTTCTTGTATCAACATGAAGAGAACATTCCGCAGCTGCACTCGTGTGTAAAAAAACACGTAAATAAAATAATAACCTCAATATAAATAACATAGGTACAACATAGACAGTTTACGTAGGAGCCATCGATATTACGTACACACACACACACACACGTCTTTAAAATGTTATGTTAGTCTGCAGAACAAATCAAAATATATAACAATAAAAAGATATCAACTACAAGGAAACATGAATAAGTCTAATCGCCATTTTTAAATGTCGTTCACGTTATTATAAGAGACGCTTTTGTTTGCGTAAAAATAAAAATAAAACATGAAGTACTTTTAGTTAATTATTTCCTTGTTTTTTTTTTTATGTAAATCATCAGTCTCAAAACACTTTCCAAAATGTGCGGTTCCCGCAAAATAGCAAACGCTTAAGTCTTTTCTTCATTCCATCATAAAATATTTTAGAAATACTTTGTCTTTAAGCTCCTTTAGAATATTTAAAGAATGGGATAAACAAGTGAAATAATCGTAGTAGTAGCAGTAGCAGTAAATACATACAGTGACTCTTCCTTTGCAAGGTATTCCGGTTAACAGGGATTTATACCATGCTCCTGGTACACAAACATTTATAATGAAAAGGTGTTTCACATTTACTGCAGTAGAGTACTTGCACATTATTGAGAAGCTTGGAGTTGCTTAGTACATATATACTGAACAACAAGTCGTTAGTAATGAAAAGGACTCTCCAAACAATAATGTGCCTACATTGTATGTACATATAATGAACAAACAGCTTACATTTAAAAACTAATCGATATAATTATTCGTCGATGTGGCGGTCGACGGCTACATCTAATACATATAGGGTTATCATTGCGATCATTTAATTGATCTGAAGGCTCGTGTAACGAAGCCACTTCAAGCGAAGAAGAACAGCAGTGCCCCGGCGTAGCAGAGCGGCGTCTTAATGGCACTGGAAGTACTCCCACCGCGTCAGAGAACGCCGTCTGCTTTGCTGCGGTGGCCGGCTTCTCTTTCGCATGATAACCATTATTAATTTAATCTTCACTGTTATCGGTGAAATCCAATCCGAGTTCGGGAATATTGTCCTCTAAGTCGGAGTGGGTGTTGTTCTCGTTCCGGTAGACGGAGCCCGGCGGAAAGCGCAGCACGCGGCGGTACACGCGCAGCAACTTCTTGCACTCCCGGGAACTGCTGCCGTACTCCGCCCTGTTCGCATCACATATATATTCTCGTGTCACAAATAGTTACTTACTGTATAGCATTTATCCAAAACAATTTTTTTTACTTTTTATATGCATATTCAGTAAGTCTGAGAATTGGCTATCTTACTAATATTATGAATGTGAATGTTTGGATGGATGTTTGTTTTAAAGTACCTCGAGAACGGCTGTATGGATTTTGCGTAATTGCGATGTGTTTCCAAGAAGGAACAGTGTAATTTGTACCCCGCAAGTAAGAAGGAGAGTACCACTGTAAAGAGAGAGAAGAGAGAGACTCACTGTGCTATGTTCATGAGTTCGTTTCCCATGTCTGCATTGCCTAGACAGTGGTAGCACATTGCTGCTTCTATCATGGCGAAAGGCACCAGAAACGGATCGCCCTTTATTTGCGGCTTCATTCTGTCAAGAAGAATACGTTAATGGGCTATTATTGAAAAATATATTTTATGATGAATGAAGCCATGAATGAAAGTATGCATCACTTACCTGGTGACTTTGAGTAAATACTCAATAGCGGACTCGTTGAGTTCCATTGCGGCGTAGCAGCACCCTATGACGTAGTAGTTGAAGGCGACGCGATCCGGCTCCATGTAACGCGGCCACGCTTCCCCGAAGGCCTTGATCTGGACGTCAGTCACCACCAATATCTGTTAAAATCGCCACATCTTCATTGGATAAGCAGTAACATATATTTTAGTCAATACAAGGCATTACATGTACAATTGTCAAATGGATGTTCAACAAAAGGCAGATTTCTGCCTGGACCAGGATCAAGATGTGTAGCTTCCACCAGATTTGCAGCATCTGCCAATGTACTTCATTCATTTTAATTGTAAATAATAAAAGTGATGAGGAGTACATACATCAATGAGTTTTGCTTGGCAGCGCCTATCATCCAAAATGGTGACCGCCAGATTCCATAGACTGAATAGGTCTTTGTGCGTGATGCGGAGGCCGCTCGTTGGCAGAGTATGCATATGCCAGAAGTTAAGCAGCTCCTTCTTTGTGGTTGAATATTCACTTGTGATGTCGCTGAACGACAAAATCGAGCTGGAATAAAGTCAAGTTGTATGTATACAGCATATTTCACAATATGTATGTATTTATTTATTAATACATACATATATTATAAGTAAACAGAGGTATCTTACGTGTTAGCCCATAAGATTTGCCAGTAACAAGTCTTTGGGAGGTTTCTAATGGTGACGTCGATGTGGCCAGCCCGCCGGTAGACCGCGGCGGCAAGCGAGCTGCGGAGGCGCAGCTTGGGACCGACGAAGATCCTCTCAAATTCTGCCGCCATCTCACTCAATAACTGACGCAAAATCAAATATATAATACACTAAACTCAATATGTCTTCATACATACCTATCTATACTAACGTATATAAGGAATAAGTGAATATGTTGTATGTGGTTATCATGTCATGTCAAATAAACGACGGCAACTTTCAATTTGGAATACAAGCAGATTCCACGATGGCACAAATAAACTTATATTACATAAGTAACTTTTTGTCATTTACAAATTACGTTATCATAAAATCTTAGATAAGTTGTTGATTGCCATCATCATCGACCGTGAGGAGAGCCGGGTGGAGAGGACTTACCGGGAAAGCCTCGTTGCAAAGGTGTAGCACGTGAGAGCGCAGGTTAGAAGACACGACGCCGACGAACTCGATGAATTCCTCCATAAATTGCATTAGCGCTGTTTCGAATGATTGTAATTCATCCTCGCTTGTCCAAATTTTTCTTGCGATGAGGACATAAGAGTCGCTGAAAAAAATTTGGTTAGTTGCGAAGTGCAAGGATATTCTTCAGTAACTTACAGGTAGCGCGAATGCAAACACGAAGTAAGTCAAGTCCTAACTTAAGTTTATTTAATGTTGGCATATACACTGAACTATATGTATTTATAAGTGATTACAAACCGTATATCCGCAAAAAAGGTGTACAATGCACCAGCAGCTCGCAGATTGCCCTTGTAATTGTTTACGCGACTTGGTTGGGCAATCTGCGAAAAGTACTCCTATGTGGCGCCCAAACGGGCCATCGCGCGGTGGTAGGTCATGCCGGCGAACACCGCGTCCCTCTGCAATACGTTAAATGCCATTTTACTCGTCCTCAAGCACAAACAAACAGTCCACTTTATTGCTGCTATGCACTGCTGGCTATGGTTGGAAAACCTTAACGACAAATAAATGTTAGTGGCTGTCTTCAAGTTGTAAATAGCAAGTTCATCAAATGACTAGACGTCTACAATTAAAGTATTCCCAAGTGATATCTTTCACGCAGAACGAGTGTGGTACACTCCGAATCTAGACCTACTGTCTAAATGCATCTGCTTGTTAATCATTTTTAATATTACGAAAACTTAGGAGTTTGTGTTGTCTTGAAATGTATGCATGGCTTTTCGGCATCGTAATGCAAATGTGTACGTGACGTGATGCTGCCACGTCACGTTTAGAAGGTGGTCATGCCAGTTGTGGAGGTGAGGGGAGACAAGTAGGGCTCACGTACGCGCTGGTTTTGGTACTCGGTGTGGCAGGTGGCCGTGTGGGTGTCGAGCTTGGCGGCCATGCAGTCGCGCGTGGTCCTGTACTCTTCCAGGACGGTTTCCAGTTGCGCGGAGTTAGACGCTACTATAGGCGCGTAGTTCTCCAGCTCGCGGTCATATGAATGATTCACGTTTGTAAGGCACCTGTAGTAAGCTTTACTATTAAACCAGCTTATAGAAACATTTTTGTTCAAATTTAACCCATTAGTGCAAAACGTTCGATAAATCAGATGCCAATAAAATTGTTATTTTAGGAGTTGTATATATTTTACTAACCGTTTATTTTTTTAAACAGTAGTGTAATATATATTTGAAGTGGTAATACTGTTGGTATGACATTCCGGGAAGCGCGAGGTCACGTTCACGATTACCGATTAGCTGATGATGTCTTCGTATGCCGGTGGAATGATAACAATGTTGTCACAGTAGCCACTAACTTTGAAAATCTTGCAATTACATCTGCAACCCGCTGGTCTAACGAAAAAAACAGCTAAAGTGCAAGTCCCTCAGCCATCGCTTATTTCAAATTACAATAAGTATATGGGTTGAGTAGACAAATGCGACCAGGCCGTGGCGAACTTACGAACTCGGATGCGAATAAAGAAGTGGTGGTGGCCCATATTTGCATATTTGCTAGACGTGTCGGTAGTAAACGCCTGGTTACTTGCTCGGAAGAATGGCTGCACGAGAGACACCGATTCCTTATTCGTTTTTAGACGGTTCATAGCAAGAAGCTTGCTTTCCACATATGGCATACCGCCGCATCTAGGCCGCAAGCCAGCAAAACCAATATGTACAATGAGATACGACGGTAAAGGACATTGGCTGGTCCCAATAAATACTGAACGTCGGTGACAAATCAATGTGGCGGGAAAAGTAAATACCAGTGTCAGAAATGTGATGTAGGCCTTCACCCGAAATTTCACATGGCATACCACGTAGTAAATTAAAATCTATTTATTTTCTCTTGCTTATTATAGTAAATTTATTCATGAAAGTCGTACTTTTATTTTCATATTTTTTTAACATCTACATTGTCCGCCGTGCATAACGTCCGATTTATCAGACGGCCTATAAAATCTAAACTTTCATATTGATTAAATATTTTTAAAATTTAATGATCAAATACACTCGAAATGAAAATATATTACTGTGATCATAATGAAAAAGGCGTTAATAAACTTTATGCACTAATGGGTTAACTACTATTTTTTAATTAATATTTTAAATTTATTTATGTAATCTTAAGATAGTAATGGCTATTAAAAATATCAATATTTTAAAGAATAATTTGTGGACTCCGTTTCATACACGGTAATTGGAATAATTTCTATGATAGTTTATTAATATCGGCTGCCAGTGTAATATATAAATATATTTCTTTAAAAATATCTGAATTATTATGTGTATGCTTCTTACCACAGTGTTAAAGCGTCTACACTGCCCGAAACGTCCCGCATGTAAAGCGCTCGAAGAGCGTCCTCACAATCCTTAACCGTCATGGCTGCTAGTTGCTTGCTGCTTGCTGCTGGCTACTGTAACAAGACATTACATCTATAGTGGACACGTCGAATACTACAGTTACAGCATTTTACAACACTTAAAAGCGGTTTAATTATATCTTAATAATTTGTAAAATTCGATTTACTCATCAGATTAAGTGAATAGGTAAAAGTGCACGGCAAGTACAAGTTATTTGCTTGTTATTGCGACCGAATGTCTACGTATGTTTTAGGCATTACCTATATGTTTACTAAAAGAATTGATATTCAACCGTTCTTGGACAAAAACAAGAAAGGATTCAAGGCATCGATATGTTTAACAGGTTATGAATATAAATCGCAATTTACATGCAGACGTCGCTTCATGATTTATGCAGCGCACTGCGCCCCGCCGCCTTGTTCAGTCTCCTTGGGAGATAATAAAAAACCTTTGCTCTTTGCTCAACGAAGTACATACCTAATTATGCTGCCAACTTGTAAGGCACTAAGCATTTAGTATATATCTATAGTATTTTATAGCAGAAAAGTCGTTTTTCACGACTTTGTCCGCGTGTAGTTTGAGGAGTTAGTTAGGACTGTAAAAATATAGCCTTATTGATTTCCTCTCGCAATTTATTGTTACAGCTTAGATAAGGTGAACCGGGAACTGTAAGACTAATAAAAATGGTTAAAACTCCTCTCTTTAGTCTTTAAATGAAACGTAAAAACTATCTATCTTGGTGTCTTCATGGCTTCATTTACTTTAGTAGACATAAAATGAATAGCTAGCTGTCAAAGAGCTAAGCTAACACTTATTGAAAAGTCCAAATTAAAAGCATTTTTAATTGAAGGCTATTTGTATCCCTCCTTGAGAGTTGGGGCGGCACATTTGTGACTCGAGTGTCTGGTAGGCCACGCCTTTTATTGCGTTGCAGGGACTTTTGTTTGCCGAGTTTGTGTTGCACAAGCACACGTACCCTACCCTGCACCTCCCCTATCACAATTATTTTACTGAATTATGTATGCGACCTATTGTGTTCTTGGAATTGTTCATTCCCTACTTACAAGAGGGAGTTTTTATGTATATACGTTTTATATGCATGGCTTTGTTTGTACGTAAGTTCCTTTGTGACCTCCTGGAGTCCAAACGACTGAACCGATTTTGTTGAGTGAGGAGAAATAAGATTCACATTCTTGCCCGGAGTGTAGCAAACACCACTTACGTCACACATTCTACAATGTTGACATTTTGAAATCAATGACGTTTCTGTTACTAGATAGGGGAGCACTAAAAGGATTTTGAGAAAATCAGCCCCCAAAGTTCTTGTGAAAAAGGTGTAAAGTGAGGGGGGGGGGAAGGGGCAAAGTTACCAGCTTTCTAGTTTGTGGCCAAATTTTCTCAGTAAACCTTATAATCCGTTTGAAAATTTGCATTTTAAATAACATGAAACACTTTTATATAAGCAAAAACTATATACATGTATTTGTTTTATTATAACAGAAAACAAATTAATGGTTTTTATATGAATCTCTTGCGCGTCAATAAAATTACTTCGAAGTTTGCATAACTCTTCCATTGCCTGAATCAATATTACATCTAGGAGCTTTGCGGGGTGTATTTCCTGCGCCCCCACCCCCACCCACACCCCCACCCCCACCACCTCTCGCTCGGTGGTGGCCCGCTCCTGTCTACCTTGCCCGGGCTCGCGACCTGCGTTGCAGCTCGATCGATCAAATGTTGAACAATATGGCAGCGAATTTCATCAATATTATACTGAAATGATCGCCTCGCTGGGGCGTTCCTTCACATAAACAATTTGGAAGAACTGCAGAAGATTGAAAACTACTACATACTTGTAGTAATTGTTGCTTTTATTCAATACAAGTTTAGCAAATAAAAAGGACAAAGGTCGAGCAATCTCGAATGCCTTCACCTCCCCGCCCCGCCGCGCCCCGCCCCGGCCCGGGCCGGCCCGGGCCGCGCGTCACCGCGCCTGCGCAAGTGCGATATTCCCAGATATACCCTGAAGGTCAATCGATCGCATATTTAACAAAGGACAAAGTTGGGTAGCCATGTTGTGTAGAGTTTTAAGCACGTAATTACATAATTTTGGCCAACTATTGATTTTTTTTTCATATCACAATTCTTAGTCTAAAGGTATAAGTATAGCATGTTTTGACTTTAACTAGTATATTAATTAAATCAAGGCTTGAGAATATATTACGTTAAATCCATAATTACGGAGCTTTAAATGTAAGATAGTTTTACTTTTTACACCCGGTACCTCTTTATGTAAAAAGTAAAATTTTGCTTATAGCACAGATGTATATACTCACGGGTACCGTGTGCTCCGCTGCGACACTTGGCAGGTGCTCGGCCGCTCACTGTCTCTTCACATCAGATATGTAAAGTCAGGTGTGCACCACAATTGTCACTCACTGAATGTTCAATATTTATTTAAGAGTTTATAAAAGTAGTTTCACTGAACCATTCCAAGAACAAAGAAATATCTGTAAATTGCGACGCGTGCGGTTCGCGTGCCGGCGGAAAGCGGAGTGGCCGAGGTCGCGCGGAGGCCGCGCACGTCCCGGAGCTGTAAGTTACGCGCATATCCAACACCCACATACAAGATATACTATCGATCCGCCGCCATTTACTTGTTGCAGACATGTACATGTCCTAGTATATATGTTTATATCTGTTATATACGTTTATCTAATTCCCTGATAGTTTTAAGAAGGCAATGGTCACTCATATATCTAAGTAAGATGGAGATTGTGTCAAAAAGTGTAGACTAGAGCGTACTACTTTGTCAAAAATTATGGAAAAGATTTTAAACAAAAGATTGCTAGCTAGCTATCTCGAACATAACAAAATAATTGTCTCAAATCAATTCTGTTTCAGAAGAGGCGTCTGAACCTTGCTAAGAATCTTGAATCCAAGACAAAAACCATTGTATTTTCCTCGTTCTAGCCATAGCATTCGACACGGTCTCTAGCTCCATCCTCGTACGACTATTAGAGGACAAAGATTTAAGAGACATAGCGCTAAAACTTTTCCATGACTTAACAAATTGCAACCAACAACAGTCAGTCCGTCCACTCACACAACTTTTGAAAACTGTGTCAGTGACGATATGAACCTAACCCTTGCCCTACCAAAGGGTAACGTGCATGTTCCTAAACTATTTTTATTATATAATACATAAATAGATTGTGCCAACTGTCAATTCCAAAGTGTAATATTCTAGTCTATGTAGATGATACTGTGTGCTCATTATAAACGAAACATGGCATTCTGTTCACCGATCGGCTGATCATGCAATTGCTGTAGGCTGCTATAGGATTGGCTATCATCAAACTTGCTCTCGCTGAATGTTACTAAATCCCAGTACATAACTTTGTCAGGCCACTCAGGTATAAAGCCTATCATGCCGTCACTCCACAGACAAATGTTGGCATAGTCCTCCTTTACACAGAAGCTCTTGTGTTTATGTCAATCGTATCTAGTGGTTTACATCTCTAGCACGTGCATGTGTTGGCAGAAACATATCTATGTGACGGTGTCAGGTGTTCGTAAAATTATGTTCCCTATGAAAACATTTGAGAAATATAACTTAAGGCGTTTGTTAAAAATTGTTTATTTTGCTTTAGCTCAGACACTCCTTACCTTCTGCATATCTGCTTCTGGTGATCCCTATAAAACATATTTACTTCACCATGAGAGGGCTCACAAAGTGCAGTTCTGAAAGTCATCCACAAACCGTATCGGTATCCGAGTACCCAGCTGTATAAGGACATTTCGGTACTCACTGTCCGACAGCTATGTGCGTTAAACATCACCTTACGTGTACACTCAACACTTTCTTGTCAACCAGCGTCTCTCAAGAACAAACGACGTAAACATCTGGTTTGCCCTTCTGTCACTACTATAACTGCTTTGGCAAGCCGCAGCTATCCGAGCATCAGCTGCCACCTCTATAACATCATTAATAAACTTAATTTATGTACTAGATATTTACTTTCTTTTATATCTTGTCATTATTGTAACGTATCATTTATTCGATCTTACTTCTCACTAATATTATAAATGCAAATGTTACAATGGATGGATGGAAGGGTGGTGGAGGATGTTTGTTTGAAGATATCTCCAGAACGGTTGAACGGATCTCAATGAAATTTGGTATACATATAATATGTATTCGTTGTCGCATCTTCTTGGACATCGAGTTTTGTAGCCCTAGCTCCAGCCCTAGTTAGCCCTAGCCTCTGTGCAAGGTACCCAGAACTATGTACACATGCATCTCATCCATCCATCCAAGTTGTAATCCAGTAATTTGAACTGCTAGGAAGTATTGAAGTACAAAGACGGAACATATTAATTACCTTATTTAGCTTTTTATAGTAGTTAGTTATTAATTTTGTGGTAAAAAATGATGATGTGACATCAGAGAGTAATCACTTTAAGCATTTCATACATGAAATCGACGAGCAGTTAAATAAATGTTTTATTTCATATTTTCTTTTTACTTGTCATCACGGAGCTGTTACAAATTGTTTGATACGTAAGCAAGGCCAGCAGGACAGCATGCCAGCATGCCAGCACGCCAGCACGCCAGCAGGCCAGCAGATTGCACAGGATACAGAGGAATCTACACGTATTTATGTATATTTACTTAACATTTCCAAGTAAATTATTTTTAAGTATACTTTTTTTGGGGTAGGCGAAGAGAATAATAATGCAAATTTATGGTGACATAAACCTTTTATTACGATGGGTATATGATGATGGTAATACATATGTGAGTAATATATATATATATATATAGGTAAAGTATAAAGGAAGATAAAAAAGTATTTTAACATAAAGCAGTCTTTCCTTGTAACCGCACCTTTATTAAGTCGCCGCAGTGAACATGGCTCTTTGTACACAAGGTACTTGGTCTTGTACTGACGTACAGGCGTCATGTCAACTGGATAGATTTGCTTCGCTATTTTAAAAATCGGCGATAACAGATGGAAATGTCGCCAACACGCGCTGTGACAGAACCTCTGTAACATTACGTAGAGTTATGTTGCCTTGTGTAGGTATGGCCTTACACTGCGGCGACTTTCCTAACTACAAGGACCATGTCCGGTCAGTTATGCACCAATCCAATATGTTATAAACATATTAAACAAAAATATATGAAAACAGTCTTGTATTATATATTATATATATAATGAAAGTAAACAACCATACTATATACCTGATGCGACAAATAATATGTTTATTGTTTTATTGTGACTTTACTTGTTGTGATCAGAGTACATACATACATACATACATACATACATATTCATGTAGAATACTATTATAGTAGTGGCGAGAGGTTTAGTTAATGCTTTACTACGGTTGTTTACAGTATTTAAATGTTATTAAATGTTACAAAAACATAAAAAGTCAGCGCACATACAATAGTAGAAGTACATAAGTAAAGTTGTTACAAACAGTAGATACCCTGAGCCGGGTGAAGGTTATTTTCAAGAAATACATAATGTGGTGCCAATTGCTCAGGTGAGCGCTAAGTGCGGCCAGCGAGTACTCGTACTTTACTCGAACATTAATTATTAAATCAGAAATACTTAGTACTAGTTGGCTCGCTTTTGAAATATGCCGCCCCGTTGTTGTTGCACCACACTTGGCCATTTTTGTTAACAAACAGGAGTTTTAGAAAACATGTAAGTTATAGATGGCGAATGACGCCTCCGTTATCTGTGGCTCGGACAGTTGGCCTTTTGTTTAAGGTTTAGCAAATATATAAAAAGAGAAAATGAAAATATCACACAATGTAAATGTAAACAAGGTAGTGTTACATAATACATTTAAAGTTGTTTATAAATTTAAGTCCGCTTTATAGACGCGACTTGCAGCGACTTGCAGCGACTTGCAGCGACTTGCAGCGAGCACACAGATGACACGTCATGTACACATTACATTAGGTAATCATACGTTTTGTTTGTTTAAATTAACATCAATATTTGACATTTACATTGGATACATAACATTAATTACATTATGTACTAGCTTATAAAGTAATTAGTACAATATATATATATATATATGTGTGTGTGTGTGTGTGTGTGTGTGTGTGTGTAGATATATATATAGAAATATGAAATGAAATGAAAGAGATAAATATAAAATTAGAAAATGATCGAAACAAAATCAACATAAATACTGAACTTGATAAAATGATATTCAAATTTGTATTTGTGTCAGAATTATAAAAAACATACGCGAAAAATCTGTAAAATAGTACAATGTAGGTATATAAAACTTAAATTATTAGCTTTTACAAAAACCGAGTAAAACTTCAATTGAAAATATATGTATTCAACAGTCGTAAAAAATAAACAAAAATTAGGCCGCAAGAGTAACTTGGATTTAGTTAAATATGTATAATACTTAGAAATAATGTCTCACTTTACTTAGAGGAAAGGAAATTAGCATAATTGTTACAAAATAATCATTGAAACATCTCCTCATAGCTTCATCTATTAGTTGTTTGCGATAAAAAATAGAATAAACAGTTCATTTTGAATAGTATGAGGTGGCAAAAGAACAATCGGCCACTTGACAACGGTGAATAGTGGTATAACCGCTGTCCATACACATGTGCACGAACGTTGCACGCGTGTTGGCTACTTTTACTGGACAGAGAAGAAAATGTACAAAAAATGCACATTCTCCCCTGTCCAATCCACTTCCCTTTTCCATTGTTCTCTTATTAGTAAAACGCTGGAAAGGGGACGCGGACGAGATTGGGCCTCCGGCGCCACACTCATCAGACGTCAAGCGGAATTACTTCCAGTTGACGCCTGGCTTCCGTGTGGCCGTGGTGTTTCACCGGGAGAGCCGACCCATTCGTGCAACAGCTAATGCTGCTGCGGGCTCCACCACTGTTTTGGGAACGATAGATGCTATGAGGACGGCAACGCTGCCGTTATCCTCATTCAAGCGCGAACACCATGTCAACATGGCACCGCCCGCATTTCATCTCCCGCTCGAGCAACGGTGTGTCCTGCGCCAAGTCGTACCGAGAGGCGGCGCAGCGCCGGCTTTACGCCAGCGAACCCCTCCTCGTCCCTTTGAAAGCAACAAACTTTGTTGTAATTCAAACATTGGCTGAGTGAGGTCACTGCACCGCATAAATCTCTCTTGGTCCTTTTATTTTGTAGGATGTAGAGGCACACGAGCGAGCGGCTGCCCGGCGGCTGCTGAAGGCGAGACGCACCGGCCGCTGCTGCCCGGACACATCGGCAACAATTTATACAAGTCGCAGATGCATTGCCTACCTGCCTACCTTTTGGACAGAGGAAGGGACACATTAAATGAGGATATTTCCCCTCCTCCACCAAATCCTCTTCTCCTTCCCACCCTTTCCTAATAAGAAAATGTTGGGAAGGGAAGGATACTAGTCCTTTTTCAATTTGGCTAAAACTAAACAATATTTATATAATTAATAAATTAATAAACAATATTCAATGAAATTAAACATTTATAATAGAAAATGATAAAAATATGCGATGAAATTAAATAATAATATCTTATGAAAACACAAGATTTATATATATTTTTGTTAAAATAAAACAGTTGCTCGTCGTTACTTCGTCTACGATCTCGAAAAAACTGGTAATAAACATAGCCTATGACATGACATGACATGACACTGTCACACCGAGATACCGTAGCATCCCAACAAGGAGAAATTTTTCAAGAAAAATTCAGTGGTTTCGGAAGCAAGTCAATGCAAACAAAAATGTCCGTCACGAAGTGACTTCAAAGGAACATGTTCAGTGGTCGATCTATGAATTATTCTTACGGCAAGTAGACTCATTACGAATGTGCTAATCATTGGGGATGGCTTATTTTATTATAATAATAATAAATCTTTTATTCAGACACACACAGACATGGTCCAAACAAAACAAAAAATACAAATTTAAATTCTAGCACAAAAATAAAACAGAAAATTCTTCAGGGCACATGTAGACGTGTCCACATGGCCAGCACTGGACAGTTCAACCCCACTCTATCAACAATGAGGTGCAGGTAGCTGTTGGCGCTGTCCCGCACCCGCTGCATCAGGGATGCTGCTCTCTTCCTAATCTTAATAGTCTCGCATAATTATTGTAGCAAAATTATCATTCACGTATGTAGTATAGGGGCTCTACCACTGATTAAAGTTGGCGGTGTTGTAAAACAAACATCAAGCCAAGGTCATGTAAGGTCAGCAGCCTTTCAAGGTGATCAAGACAGATGTGTGTTTCTACTGCACAACCAGCGGACAGTTTGAAAAATTTACAAAAAATGTGTGTCATAAGCAGTGTTCGAGTAAATGAAACGACGATTAAATGAATATGTCTAGGAAGACCTCTGGTTATGTTGGCAAATCTTACTAATGTTATAAATGCGAACGTTTGGATGGATGGATGGATGTTTGTTTGAAAGTATCTCCAGATTCATAGATCTCGCTTAAATTTCTAGTAGATTTAGAACACGGTTGAGCAGAGTACATAGGCTGCTAATTGAGTTGTTTTAATTGCAAAACTAATATTGTAGGTATGTTCTATGGAATCTTGAAGAGAACAATATGTACGTATGTACATTGTGCAATATTCTAACGATGTTGAATTTAAATGATTAAGTTATTTCCTTTTAAATGCATATCCAGTACAGTAACAACGATTTTTTCTATTTTATACAAAACTAATATAACAATTTACAAATGTTCATATATTTGACTGATATTCTCCAAAGATCACTTAGAATCTATTGGCAATAATATGTACTTAAAACTATAAGCCAGTTAGAAGTCGTCTTCTAATCGTGGCATGTTTTTAACAACTTTTTAACCCCCTCCCACCCCCTTGACACAATGTACCTAAATATGTAAAACCTAACCACATTGTAAGGTTTTTAATTATTTTCTCCTCCGTATCGATAATATAGTGTATGTATGTATGTATGGATGGTCACGTGGAGAATGAGGTCACGCGATACAAATATCCAGACAGAAATTAT